TCTTTCTTTCCTTTACTCCTTCCTCCATCCCTGATAGAGTAATAATGTCGCCATTTTGTGAATCAGTGGCCATTTTATCTCAGGCTTCACTTCTTGAGAAATGGAGCCTCCCCAGGCAGCTCCACCCCCAAAGGCAGCTCCACCCTTAACAGAAAGTCCCTTGCTGTAAGACAGCTCCACTCCTAAAGGAGACTCCTGAGCAAGCGCCAGCTTCCTTAAGTTTCCTCTTCTATAAAAGCCACACCTAGCCCAGAGTCAGTGCTGTGCCACCTTTCCCTGGTCAGCCCAGCAGCTTGAGCCTGTCATTAAACCTTGCTCTTGAATGGGGATTTTTCTCGTGAGCTTTCTTTGCGAGCAGCGTTTTTCCTAACAAGCCCTGTCTTCAGTTTTTATTGATTTTTTGTTATATAACAAGGTGTTCATATGGTCAAAAAAGTATAAATGTTCATAGTATAAAAACCAAATTCTGTTCCATTCCTTGATTTTCAATTTTAGGTTTCTCTCCTTGTAATTCACAACAGCCACAGCTCTTGTGGTTTTTCCTTGTACAAGCTTTGCATTGTTCTTGAGAACATACTGATATTTATCTTATATATTCCACTCCCTCCAAATGGCAGTGAATTTTCACACTGTTTTGAAATTTGCATTTTCCTGGGAGATATGTCTGCATCAGTACAGAAAGACAAGCCTTACTTTTTTTTAAATAATTGAATAACTGCATTCATGTATCTGTTTTTATCAGATTCTCAGCATTATGGGTGTTTACCTAGTTTTCAATTTTTTAGTAATATGAACAATGTTATCATAAATGTGAAAGTATTGGTAGGACCAATACTTTTTTTTGGAGTGAAAGCTGAGTAAAAGATAAATTGTGAGTTATTGCCACTCTGCCCTCCAGAGAGAGGCTTTATCATTTACATTACTTCTTGCAAATCTAGTAACTATTTCTAAAAATCCTTCTGACATTGTGATGTGAACTTTCATCTAACGTTGTCATTATAGTTGAAAAATATAGTATTTTTGGTTTATTTGCCTTTTTATTTGAATCAGGTTGGATGTCTCTTCATGTTTCTAAGAACCATTAAAATTTCATTTTCTGTGAATTATCTGTTATATATGTCACTTTCTTAAAATATTTTGTTTTTAAATTGATATTTTGAGTGAAATACCTTCCTTTAGAAAACTTGCAAAGATTTGTTCTTAATAGTAATTATTTCATTTGTTTATTTTTGCCATGCAGAGTGCTTTGATTTCTATGTGGTAGATAATGTTTGTGTTCTGTGTCATATAAAAACCTTTATTCTAGATGTCTAGAAAATTCTCTACTTTTTACAGTCATTACAGCTTAACTTTTATATTTAAATCATTGTGCCATATAAGTCTATTTTCATTTTGTGTGTGAGTTTAATTTGCACTTTTACTGCCTCCAAAATACGTAGTTATTATATCAATACTACTTCTTGCATAATTCATCTCTGCCCCATGACTGTAATATCACCATGAACACATAACCCTCCTTTTAAAAAGACAATAATATTGCACTATATATATTTATATCTATATATCCTACATTTTCTTTATCCATTCATTTATTGATGAACACCAGGGTTTATAGGTGTCCTGGCTATTGTGAATAATAATGCAATAATTTATCTATTGAGAGTAGTATTTTAATACATTTTATGATTCTGAAATATCTGGTTCTTTTAAAGCAAAACTAACATGGTTTGGGTGCATTATTCGTTCATTTATTATTGTTTTTGCAGTACTACAGGTTGACCTCAGGGCCTCCCACTTGCTAGGTGAGTGCTCTACCACTTGAGGCAATCCAGGCCAATCAAATTTAGTTTGTTTTTCAGGCAGCGTCTCGCACTAACCTTGCCCAGGTAGGACTCAAGGTCTTGCTTTTAGCCCAGGCCAGCCTGGACCACAGTCCTCCTATTTTTATGCATCCTGCTGTAGCTGGGATGAGCTGTGCCATCACACCTAGAATTTTCCTATGGAGATGCAGACTTGAGAACTTTTTTTTTGTTCAAGTTAGCCTAGAATCATGATTTTCCCAATCTCAGCCTCCCAAGCAGCTAGGATTATAGGCATGAGTCACAGGTGCTTTGCTACAGCTGTTTTTGAGATAGGATTGAGTTAACTTTTTGCCCAGACTGGTCTGGAATCATGACCCTCCTGTCTCTGTCTCCTGAGTGGGTAGCTGAAATTTATAGGTATGTACTTCCATACCTAGTTCACATTTTTAAAAAATTGACTTTTTGTACTGATATTTTTATTTCGTATTTTTGTGTTCATGTTGGTGAGTGGCATTGGGCCAAAGCTATCTTTTTACAAAATTTATTTTGAAGCACTCCTCCCTTTGCTATGCTTTCTGTTAGTTCACGCTGCATTGATATGTCTAGTTCATGATAGTGTTCCATCAGTCATGGAGTATAGAAAGAAGGTTGCATTTTCATTATTTGATTCCTTGCATGCTAGTTGTTTTTTAATATCTCCTGTGGTAGCTTTTTATAATCAGTGTTTTTATAGAAAAACCACAGATTCCATCAGGTTCTGTGGTTAATTCTCAGATTGTAGAATTAATTTATTCTTTTTCTCTTTTGTTCCAAATTATTGATGGTTGCTTGAAAGAATCTCATCTTAGATTTACAAATTTTATCAGTTAAATATTTATCATTAAATTTTATTTTATTTAAGCAAAAATATTACTTCTTTATCTCCATAAAATTATTTTCTCTTTTCTTGAAAGATAGGTTTAATCATTTTTCTATTATTTCTTATTGATACTAATGTATATAGAATTAAACAGTATTTGATAATATATGGTTTGATGTTTTAAAATGGTTTGCAAAATTGTCTTTTACATGTATTTGCAAATTTAGCTTTTATTTGACTTTCATCAAATGATGGTTTAAAAGACTGAAATTGTTCTAAGAATGGGGGAGGAGTGGTGAAGGAGAACGATGGAAGGGGTGAATCTAATTAAGATATAGTGTAAGCACACACATAAATATCACAATGTATATCCCCATGTTACTATTATATGTTAATAAAAAGGGATTTACAAATGTCTATGTGACAGAAATAGAGATTCCCTCTCTCCCTAAACTACCCTTGGGTTTACTCAGAGAAGAGCAGCAAAATACCCCTTTCTGAAGTCTCCTACTGAGAAGTCTGTAGTTTCTGTGAAGTGCATGATGCAGAAGCAAAGTAAACTAAAAACAATTGGCTCTGGTCTTCTTTGGTCTTTAGGGTTCTTTTAAAAACACAAAATAGAGTACCTATATATGAAGTTGATTAATCCCAGTAAACATGTCAAATTATTTTTATCATTTAGTTTGGTATGGGTTCATTTATTACTATTGCATGTCTTCTGTATACTTATTTTTCCTTTATGAATATTGAAGAGATATCATTTGGAACACAAATTCTCTATGAAATATTTCACTTTTGTGCACAGCCCAGTTGAGCAAAGTTTCTAATGGCTATTTCATTTAAGAATATTTATATAAGAAGACATATCAGGGTAGTAAACTTAGGTATGTGTCTCTCCCTGGAGTTGGTCCAGAGTGGTAAAGATAAAAACTTATCCTTCATTTCTAGAAAGAGATTTGCCAAAATTTCAGAGTAAAATTAAGATTTTTCTCAATCTTACAGTGGAGCATGGGCAGGATACCAGAAATGCTGTATGTAAGACCAGCGTTTCCTAATTATGGGATTTCTTTTTTGTAATGTATGCTGCTAATAGACTGGTACCTTCTGAATTCCCTTGGTATGTTTGGGTAATGATTGGCTGACTATTCCACTGTTTCTGGCTCAGCCTATGAATTTGGATCTTGTGTAAACATTAAGAAAGGAAGCAAACTCCATCCTATCAATGGTTTAACTGACTAATGAGATAGGAGAAAATTGGAAAAAGGGTATTAGCCTTTTTTGTTTATGTTGCTGTCCAAAGGATGCATGTGTGCTTGATCCTTTTTTTATTTTTCCAAATAGGATACTTGGTTCTGAGTCTATATTTTCCTTCTAGATTTAAGGCTGGGTTCCCTTATTTCTCCTATTTTTAGAGATAGAGGGACATGGACATAGTGCCTCAACTGGGGCAAATGCTTTTGTTCTGCATTGGGTTTTGTTTTCCTAAGTGTTATACATTAAAGGGATATGGCTAGAGATTCAAGTTCTGTTTACCAGTGATGAGACTGGTATGTATCCTATCTTACTAAATTCTGTGTCAGCTTCTCAATTTGTGAATAAAACAAAATAGAAAGGATGGATAAGGGTATTAATACCTCAGTACTTATGCACTTTCTTGTCTGATTCTTCTTTTCTGCTTATATAATCTAAAGAGATGGTTTATCAAACTCTACTTTACAAAAACAAAATAAAGATGAATAAGAAGAGTTTTTCCTATTTTCAAGATATGACCAAAAAATAAAAAAAGAGAGGACTAAACTTGATTTTCCCTTAGGGATTTCTTTAGTTCTAATTGATGGAGCTGCTTATACAACATTGATTATGTTCTCCTCTATTGTAATTTTGTTTTGTTTTTATGACAGATAGTTTAAAATAGGCATATCAAAATGTATAACAACAATATTAAAGACTTTTTCAGATGCATCCTCTTTAAGAAACACATAAAACAGGAGTTCATTTATTAGGACCAGGGATATAGTTTGGTGTTAGAGTGCTTGCTTAACATGTGTGAGATCCTAGGTTCAATAGCCAGCACTGCATTAAAGAAGAAGTTAATTTATTTAATCAGTTAATAATTTTTTCAAACTTGAAAGTTTGGCTATATTAATTTCAAAATCATTCTCTACAGTAGTATAAGGTTTTCAAACTATATTCCAAGGGAAATGAGCTACACAAGAAGTCCTGAATGTTTCTCATATTCTAAAATCTTAATACTGATAGGGGTAGATCTCACTTAAAAGCTTAGTATTTTCAATTATTAAATTATGATTGCACATCACTATGAGATGACTTGATATTTTTCAATTTGGATCCAATCTGAAGAACTTTTTCCCTGTCACTTTTATAGCATCTTTTACTTCTTTATTTCTCGAGCTGTAAATCAAAGGATTCAACATGGGAATCATAATGCCGTGAAATATGGAGGCCACTTTCATATTCTCCTGGGAATCATCAGAGTGAAGCTCTAAGTACATGTAAGAGAGGGTTATGCAGAAAATGATGTCTGCTGTCAGGTGGGAGGCACATGTGGAGAAGGTTTTCTTCCTCCCAGCAGCAGAAGTCATCTTTAGGATGGTGGCCATGTTATACATATAAACGACAGTAACGACTGACATAGTGAACATCAGGTTGAATCACATAAAGACAAGAAATAGCATGATGCTTATATCAATGTTGGAGCATGAAAGGGTGATGATTGGGGAAACATCATAGTAAAATTGATTTATGTGATTGGACTTACAGAAGAACAGTGAAAATGTAAAGCCTGTATGTACAGAGGAATTAATTGATCCTATGAAATATGAACCAGCTACCATCTGGATACAGACTTTTTGGGACATGATTACAAGGTAATGAAGAAGCCCACAGATGGCAACATAATGGTCCACTGCCATAACAACCAGAAGGTAACAGTCACAGGTTGCAAATATTGCATAGATCCAAAATTACATTATGAAACCTCCAAATGAGATGGATTTCTCTGCTACTGGGAAGTTTTGGAGCATCTTGGGAGTGATAGCAGATGTGTAACAGGTATCAACAAATGCCAAATGTTGTAAGAAAAGGTGCATGGGTGTTTGAAGTCATTGATGAGTAGAATCATTCCAGTATTACCCAGTATGGACGTCATATAGATCACCAGATATACGATGAAGAGGACATACTGAAACTCATGCTGGGCAGCAAATCCCTGAAGATAGAATTGGTGACCTCAGTTCCATTTCCTTGTCTCATGGCTACCAAAATCTGGAAAGGACCAAGAGAGGAACCAAGAAAAGAAGTGAAATCTATGTGACTTCTTGATATTAAAAACTTCCTACAATTCATGTCATGCTTTTGAGTTGGACTTTCCTAACAATCACTCATAATGCAATTTGCTAATTTCCAAATAATTTTTCTATATTCTTTATAGGAATCCACCACATACATAGTGTGTGTGAGCTAATGATTTATTTTAAAATGATGAATGTTGCATAGAAGAATACTAACTTTAATGTGTCAGTCTGAGAAACATATTAATATACTTTTCCATGATATTGAGCTGGTATCTACATTTGCATGAGGCAATATTCAAATATGATTTTTGTTTCTTTTCAGCAGCATTTAGTTTTTCTTTGTCATTTATCATTTAATCATTAATCCTGGTGCAAGCTCTTGACATTAGAATAAATTAGAGCAAGAAGAGTTTGATGGATTCATAGTGTATTTGTGCTATCATCCTTTCTACAAACTAAATGATTCTCTTAAAAATATTTGAATGCCATTCAGGTAATCGTCTCCTTATACTTATATAAGAGAGAGATAAACTTGAATTTTCCCTGGCAATGTTTAGTTTTGCCTAGCTTAAGCAAAAATCATGAAGCAATAATTTGGTAACTTATTTTAGTGATAACTTATTTTAAATAATAAATGTCTTTGTTATTCTCTATCTGGTTTATAGTACCAGTTAGGTTGCAGCTCAGGTCCATTCATGAATATCTTTTCACTTAGTGTAAACCCTCAAATTCTCTCATTTAGTATCTCTTCTTAAATAGCATCCTATATTGAGAGGCACAATTCATTGTGGATTAATATATCAGGGCACTTTGATATGGCAAGAATTGGCTTTCTGCCTACAAGATATATGTCTTTTATTTTGGGGACAGAGATATATCACATTTCCAACCAAGCAAATTAAAAAAACTACCACACTAACCTAATAATATAGAGTTGAAAAGTTAAATAGCCCATGAAGAACATTGATTTTATAAACTTAAATCTTTCCTGTTATAAAATAACTAGAAAATTCACCAAAATGTAGAAAATAATTAAATACTATGTGGACAGAATGCAACCCAGTTTATCCTGTGAGTCTAGTACTACTCTGATAGTGAAACCAAATAAAGATAGTATGAAAAAGAAACATGATTCCCAGTATCTCACATAGGAGACAGATTCTATTGCAAAATACTAGCAAATATAAAACACACACAATTATCATCCTCTAAGTGGGTTGATTACAGTAGTGAAAGGCAGGTCCTGAATGTGAAAATCTATCCATAACCCACCATAAAGAAGCCAAAGAAGAACAATAACAGGATCATATAAGTCTGGTAAAAAAGTACATCTGACAAAATTTAATACCAGTTCATGATTTTAAGAAAAAGCTCAGGAAGCTAGGAATAGAAGTAACTTTCTTAACTTGATGAAGAACTTGATGTAAATATCATTTTTAATGTTTAGATAGTGAATGGTTGCCTCCTAAGATGAGTAATTAGGCAGATGTACCCCCACTACTGCTATTTCTCCTTCTTCTGGAATTTCTAGTCAGTGGAATAATGGCAGAAAAGGAATAAAATCACGCATAGAAAGGAAGAAATACGCTGTCCCTATTTATAGATAACAGGATGACTGTGCAGAGGATTCCAAGGAAACCAGAAAACTTCTAGACTTAATGAATGACTTCAGAAAAATTGCAGGACACAAGGTAATCATAAAAAATTAATGTTTTTTCTATACTAATAATGGAATGTGAGGACTGAAATGAAAATATCCCATTTAGAGTCACTAGAAGTTATTTATTTATAGTCACCAAAGTTATATATATATATATACATACATACATATATACACACATATATATGTATATGAATGAATGAATGAATCTAACAAAAATCTAATTTCCAAAGGTCATGTGCTGTATATTATACACTAGTATAACATTACCAAACTGGCAAAATTGTGGAGATGGAGAGTAGATTTGTGATTAGTAGAGATTTGCGAGGGTAGAAGAGGGAGATAGTATGCATGTAAGAAGTAGGGTGAAGTAAATCAGTATGAAATATGAGATCTCTGATGGAATATTCTACCCCTTATTATGGTGGCTAAAGGAAACTATACAAATAAGGAAAATAACATGGACACACACACACAGAATACTTATGTAAAAATTCTGGTTTCGATGTTATAGTAAAATTATTTAAGATGTGACCATTGAGAGAAAACCGTTGAGAGAAAGGGTTCCTAAAAACCCTTTGAACTATTTTTACAACTTCTTGTGAATCTATAAGTATTTCAAAATAAAAAATGAAGAAAAAGAAGAGAGAAGAGAAGAACCTATTTTGCAATATGTGAGTGTAAACTGAGCAAATTAATGAAAACTTCAGAGCACAAGGGCAGGCAGTGAATGAGTGTTCCCTAAATGGCCACAATTAACACGTGAATATTACATTGATGCATATATTGATTGCTTGATCATTTTCTTCATTTATTCATTTAATTATTTGTTCATTCACATTTTTTTCTAGTCTACACTCAGCTAGATTCAAACCCCTCGCTCGATTTTATTGCATCACCAGGGATGAAATGTAACCTCCTGGTCTTGGACGAGATAAGCTGGTGCTCTGACTCTGACCCTTTGGTTTCCTACACTCTGCAGAGCTGATGGTGAAAATGAATTTGCTTTGCTTTGTCTGGTTTTTGTTACATCAGAGCTGTCTCCAGGTTCTCTTTCTGTAGCTGGTGTACATTGATTGCTCACCAAGGTTTGTCACTGTGGTTCCTCCCCCTCAGAGAGTTTATAGCTGGAGCCTAAGGGATCCATACTCACTTTCCTGAGAATCTGAGGCTCCAGAAGCTGAGACAGTATTGGAAGAACAACATTCACTAGTGATTTTATATTAAAGTGAATCTAAGCTTTGTAGAAAATACAGTATTTTTTTAAGTAGACAGTTCTTTTTCAGTTATAGCCTTCTAAAACTTTGGCCTTCTAAAGCTTTGTATTTTTTCTTGTTATGAATCAGGTTGAGCATCTTTCATATAACTGAAGACCTGTGTTTAGGTTAGATAAAATCCTGTCAATATAGACAGTAAAAATTCTAGTTTTCTGAAAAAAGATATCTGAATTTATACTAAATTTAAATGCATATGGTCCCCTGGTATGACAAATAAAGATAGTATTCCATGTATTACATTTTATAATATCAGATTGATATTTACTTATAAATTCATACTTAATTTCCTCATTTATTCTAAAAATTACACATTTTAAAGTTTAGTCTTACATTGGGTTGTTGTTTTGTTTGCATTTTATGACATCAGAATTATTCAGGTAATGATTTGTGAAATAAGAAATTTTGAGTTTTGATTGGCTATAAATTTGCAAGCATCAAGCCTTTAATTAATATGCAGAGAGAAAGTTTGATTCAGTGAGTCTTTGCCTTTTTTATAAACTAGCAATTGAATGAAAGAGACTTATTGTCAAAACTAACATTCAACATTCCCTGTTGCCTGATTTGATTTACTTTTCCATCCTAACAATAGTTTGGGAGTCAAGACTAATACGTTTGCAATTTTCTTAGTCTTTTTCACATGCTGGTTGGCTCTTTTTTTTTTTTTTTTTTTTTTTTTTGTGGTATTGGAGATTGAACACAAGGCCTGGCACTTGCTCAGCAAATACTCTGCAACTTGAGCTATGCCTCTAATCCTGGTGACTGCCTCTTAGCATGTCTACCTCTTCCCTAGCCATCATAATGTCTTTTGATCAGTGATGCTACATTTCTTCTCTGATTGCCTGTATTTGTATTTTTAAAAATAAAGTTATCCATTACTTGCTCATGATTGGTTTTCAATTCTGAATAAAGACTTGAGCCTCTAAATGAATGTTCAGAAATATTTGAACCCAGTACATCCTTATTGAACCTGAGCTGCCATGAGAACAGTTTGTTGTACTTGAGTGTTGGTAGTTTACTTTGTCACTTAACAGACACATTCATGATTTCTGTGTTCATATTTCTTCACTCACTCAAAAACCATATTAATGAGTATCTAATAAATTCCCGGGAGCTAATCAATGCTGGGAATACAATAACGTATGCCTTGTCTTTAACAGATACTCAACTTGAGTGTTTCTCATATAATATATATCTAGTGCAAGATGAATGATGTTCTAATCAGAGTATCAGCTGAAAAACTATTTGTTCGGAGTAAAGACCTATGGCTTAATAGTGGACTATGAAAATGGCTACAGATACCTTCAATGCCTTCACACTCTGCTTCACATTCATGTTGTTTAAATGCCTCCTTGTCTCCATTGGAATTCCCACTGAGTTTCTGTCATTTAAAGTCATTAGTCAGGACAAAAATGATGTTTTTTGTAAATGAATGAATGATTACTAGAAGGTTTTGTCCATCCACTTTTAAATTATATGTCTTATAGATAGAAATAGAAAATGCTTCTAGTACTTTCCTTTGCCAGGCAAGAAAACAATAAATGAGAATAAAGGGGTAACTATTTGTGTTTCAAGTGCTCAGAAAAATAACAATGAGTGAATATTGGGTAGAAAGGATGCTTGAGTTGTAAGATTGCTTTTAAGTAAATATATTTATCGCCCATTCATTTTTCTTATTAGCATGTTATAATTTTACAGTGGATGCATTGTGACATTTGCATAAATGCTTATGGTATGTCTTAATTAGATTGACCCCTGCATTTTTGTCCTGTCTTTCCCCTTCTTAGAACAATTTCAGCAAGTTCCATTGTTCTATTTTCATACATGACTATAAAATACTTCTACCATATTCACCCTCTACTCTTTCCTTATGCCTCCCCTTCCCACTGGTACCAGATTTTGTAATAATATGAGCAGAATTTACAAAGGACCTCATTGTAGACAATTTAGGGAACTTGTTTAGAGGATGGGAATATAATAAACTTCAATTTTGATGCTGATATTAGATATCAAATGTTGATTATGACTAATGTTACTACCCATTAAAAATCATATTTTCAAAATATTTGAAACAATACTTTGTAAGGTTTATACACACTACTTAATATTTTAAATCATCTTCAAGATGGAGTGTAAGATATGCTCTCAAATGATATTTCAGGGAAAATGAGTCTTTGGACAGGTCTTGGGATACTTCTTCCATTTTAAGACCTTAGGTATTGGCAAGTGTAGCTTCAAATTAAAAGCTGAAAATGTTATTAGTTTATAATTATTGTATTTGTGATATAGTATGCCAATTTCAGTTGTAACACATCTCTACTTACACTATGATGTGCCAAAATTTAACAATTTGGATGCAATCTAAAGATTGCCACTTTTATAGCATCTTTTACTTCCTTGGTGACTGCTGTCAGGTGGGAGGCACATGTAGAGAAGGTTTTCTTCCTCCCAGCAGTAGAAGACATCTTTAGGATGGTGGCTATGATGTATATGTATGAGAAGATAACAACCAATACAGTGAATGTCAAGTTAAACCCTACAAAGATCAAAATTAGCATGAAGTTGATGTCATTGTTAGAGCAGGAAAGGCTGATAATGGGGGGAATATCACAGAAAAAGTGATTAATTTTGGACTTACAGAAGGAGAGTGAAAATGTAAAGCCTGTGTGTACAGAGGCATTTATTGACCCCATGAGATATGAGCCAGCTACCAATTGGGTGCAGACTCTGTGAGACATGACTACAGAATAGTGAAGAGGCTTACAGATGGCAACATAACGGTCCACTGCCATTGCTGCCAGGAGGTAACAGTCGCTGGTTGCAAATACTGCATAAATAAATAATTGCATTAAACACCCCCCAAAAGTTATTGATTTATTTTGTACTATAAAGTTTTTTAGCATCTTTGGAGTGATAGCAGATGTATAACAGATATCAACAAAAGCTAAGTGTTGTAAGAAAAAATACATGGGTGTCTGAAGTCTAGAATCAGTGTTGGTGAGTAAAATCATCCCAGTATTACCCACCATGGACATCAGATAGATCACCAGAAATACAATGAAGAGGACATAGTAAAACTCTTGTTTGGCACTAAATCCAAGCAGATAGAATTCAGTTACTTCAGTGCCATTTCTTGTCATGGCTGCCAAACATCTAGAGAGACCATGAGAAGCAAATGTTTATGATGTGTTGATACAAAAAGCTTCTGATATTTCATAACAGTTTCTCGAGTTGGGCTATCCTGGCAATCTCTCACAAGGGAATTTATTATTTTCCAAATAAATTTTTCTATATTCTTGATGCAAGCCACTACATAAACAGTATGTTTTAAAATAAAGAATATTCTGGACTGGCATGTAGCTCAAGTGGTAAAAGTGCCTGCCTAACAAGTGCAAGACCCTGAGTTCAAATCCAAGTACTGCCAAAAATAAAATAAAGTAAATAAGAATGTTTTATAGAAGCATACTGACTTTTAATCTGTAGCTCCAAGAAATATAGATTAATGTACTTTTCCATTTTATCAAATTGGTATCTGTATTTACATGAGGCCATGCTCAAATATGATTTTCTCTAATCAGCAGCCCACACCTTCTCAATATTTATTATTATGATAATTTAATACTAATTTAATCTCTTGACATTAGAATGAGTTAGAGAAGAAGAGTTTTCTGAGATATGTGCATGAATCACAAGTGTTTGATAGCAACATAGTGTGCTTTTGCTCTTATCCTTTATGTAATCCCATCACAATGATTTCCTTTAAAAAAAACTATCTGAGTCTAGGGATGCACCTCAGTATTAGAGTATTTGCCTTGTTTATGCATCCCTGACACCACCCCCCAAAAGTTAAAAAATCCCTATCTGTTTCTCCTTCAAATAACCCTCTCCTTACTTATATAAGAGATAAATTTGCATTTTTCCGTGGCAATGTTTTTACGTTTAGTTCTGTCTTTGCTTAAGCCAAATTCATGTGGAAACAATTTGATTAATACACTGTAATAGCGTAGTTTAAATCACAAATATCTTTGCTTTACTCTGTCTGAGTTATAGTACCTCCATATGTGTTTAGATGTACTGCTGAGATGCAATTATGAGTGATTTTTCATTTAATGTAAGCCCTCAAACTCTCTATTTAGTGTCTCTTCTTAAACACCTTCCAATATTGACAAGAACTGCTCTTTGTGGAGTAATACATTATTGAAACTTGGTACAGCAAAAATGCTGTCCATCAATATGTATGTTTTTCATTCTGGGAACAGAGATAGGTCACACTTCCAACCAAATGAACTTGCTTTGTATGGTCAAGAGCTCATGTTCTGCGTAATGTATGCAACTACCAGGCCTGAAGCAGCCCTCCCATTCCCTATTTCCTGCACTGTGACTATGTGAATTTCAATTCTTTCATTCATCATCCTTTAGCTATATATTCACATTTAGGGAGACTTAGTACTTCATGGAAGAGGGGTGCCATTTAGCTTGGTGCAATTTAATCAAGTTAAAATTTGAATTTCAGATGAGAACATAATTTTTAATATAAATATAACCTAAATATTGAATGGGAAATTATCATCTATCTATCTATCTATCTATCTATCTATCTATCTATCTATCTCTCTATCTATCATCTATCATTTATCTATCATTGATCTATCTACCCATCTATCTGTCTATATATCTATATCTATCATCTATTTATCATCTCACTTGGGTTTGAATTCAGGGCCTTTTCCTTGTAAGGCAGGCACTCTACTACATGGAGCCATACTTCCAGCCTCTATCCCTTTTTGCTTTCTTTATTTTTGAGAAAGGGTCTCACATTTATTCTCCTGGCCAGCCTAGATGTGAGCCTTTTATTTATGCTTCCAGCATAGCTGAGATGACAGGTGAGTGCCACCACACACAGATTTTTATTGGCTGAGATGTGAGTGTGGGGGGGTCTTGTTAACTATTTTTCACGGTTTTCCTGAATTGCGATCCTCCTGATCTGTGCCTCCCAAGTAGGTAGGATTATATTTGTGAACCACCTTGCCCAGTTTGAGTGGGAGATATTAAAAGTAAAAAGTTGTATTCTCTTTATCTGAAATCCAAATTAAATTCAGAATTCTGTATTTTCACTTGCTAAGCCTGTGACCATTGTGTTGCTTATTGCAGTCTACTTTAGGCTGGACTGGAAGGACTGTATGGTGGGGTCCATGCCTTAATCCACTTTATATTTCTGTAGCAGGTGGCCAGATGTGGTAATTTATATAGATAAAAAGTAAATTTATTTGTCTCATGGTTTTGGCAACTGGGAAGTCCAATATGGAGGGGCTGCATCATCTGGTAGCATAATGTCAATGGGCAAAGAGGGTGAAAGAAAACAAGAAAGAAAGCACCAAACCTGTTGTCATGGCACGTCTACTCTTGAGATAATTAACTCTCTCACACAATACCAACATTACTTCATTCTTGAAGCTTATGGTTATTTTAGACATTACCTTCTAACACTTCTGCATTGAGGATTAAGTTTGTGACTTGTGAACTTTGGGAGACACTTTCCACTCGTAGCTGTATTCCTGCCAGCAATGTACAACCTCCATTGGATTTATTTTTTAAGGAAAATGTGTCTTCTTTTTTCTTTCTTTTCTTTTTTGGTAGTATTGGGGTTTGAATTTAGGGCCTTACGCTTACTAGGCAGGCACCCTACCACTTGGGCCATTCTGCCAGTCTTTCACTATATTTTATGTGGTTGAAAATTTCTAGTGCTAAATGGAACTGACATTTAGGATTCTTTACAGCAGTTAAGTCTTATTTAAACAACTAGAATTTCACACATAGAATGCAATAGACACTTTTTCAAAAGAAATAAATGAATGTAGATATAACAATAGTACAAGTTTTACCTGAAAAGTAGATTTGTGAGTAATTTTTCAGTTATCAGATCCAAGAAGATAAATATTGAGCCAGCAATAGGGAAAGGTCATAATTGACAAGATTTATACTCAAAATCTTCCAAATGTTGATATTAACAGGTACATGATGAGAGAATTGAGAGGAATTATAAAATAATGAGAATCACTTGAGAGTATTCCATGAAACAATTAATAGGTTATAGCATTTTAGCTATCATTTATAGGTCAACAACTTACCTAAGACATTGGTGCTTTCTTGGCATGTGAATAAGAGCAACCCTAAAGAGCTCATCAGATTCCTAAAGAGCAGAGACAAAGGCCATTTGGAAAAAGCAAAACTAGAAAGAAGAAAGACTGTCTCTGAAACTCACAACCACACCTTCCCAGATTTATTTATCATCTATCTATCTACCTATCATCTATCTATCTATCTATCTATCTATCTATCTATCTATCTATCTATCTATCTATAGTTATTGGATGGATCATAAGGGGATTTAAAATATTACTATTATTTTAATTTTAAATTATATCAAAGTTAAATGTGTGGCTGAATTATTCTTCATAAAATTCAGTGCATTTTATACATGTGCAGTGTTAAATAATCAAACAAATTGCCTATGGAGTTAGAACACATCTCCAGCACATCAGTAGATATCTCATTTATCTTATATCAGTGACTCCAAGCAGAGCTACACCTTCATAGAAGCAATGGTCAGGAAGAATGTGGCTTTAGTGATGGAAATGTGGTGACTGAAGCCTGGAGTTTTTATCAGCTTCTTTGGCTCTTTCAGATATCTTAAGAAAGAATAACTGTGGGTAACTCCAGTAATGTAACAAAATATTATTTTTTGTAATGCAACATTTAGAGAGGGCTGAGAAGGAAAACATTTATATAAGCTTCTTCTTCAGGTAAACTTGCTGCGAAAATAGACCAACAGGAATTTCATTTCAAGGAAACTTCATCTGGTGGAAGAAACCACTTTTGAGAAGAAGCTAGGTCACTGATCTATTTAAAGAAGAATCTTAATAAGGTGATAACATTTGCTTGTATTTCTCTTGAAACATTCTGAATTCAGATAAAATAATCTGACATGATGGGGACACTTCTCAATAGCTGAAGATATGTCCACCTGCTCATTCTCACAGACAGAATATATACAGTGAGGGTGCATTGACTCAATATGAATTATTTCTACTTCAGGTGTGATGGCGATATTTCCTAGTCAAAGTAACACTATAAAGAAAATGGCCCATTACCAGAATATTTTAATATGCTTAATATATACTTAGTCTGAAAATGGTTCTGAAGATTCATTTTGTTCACTTTGGGCAGTGAAAAAGAGATAGCACTGGGTTTGAATTCTTGTCCTGCCAGTTAATAGAACCAAATGATGTTAACTCCTTCTGCTTTACTCCCTTCCTCCTACAAAGGGCATCATACGACCTACTTAGAAGGTCATTATGTGCATGGCAACAATGTTTCTAAAAATAAGTTTGGAAATAGGTTTAAATAAATGACAGTAAATTCATGTTGTAGATCAATAAGCAGTACAAAAAGAATGAGATAAGTATCTACTCACACAAGAAGGTATCCATTTCATATTGTCAAAAGAGAAATCAATTGTAGAAAAATATTTAGCACATGGCCTTATTCAGCAACAAACTGTCTCTCTTTTTCACCTTCATTGTCCTTATGAATTCATGGATAAAGGTCAGGAATGATACACATGTAAATCTAGTAATAATTATTCACGGGTGTGATTTGGATGATATAGAACCTTGCTTTTTGAACTTATAAACTTAGGTCTTTGCTTTTCATTTTTACATTTGGGATTCATGAGTTGCTGTTTTACTATAAATGTCATTGCTATGCTGAGGCATATGTTTGATGTTTTTTTTTTTATTTTCTGTTTTCTTTTCTCTATCTGTGTTTTCTTTTTCCTGATTTTCTGTGGGTCATATGAATGTTTTTTTAAAGTCTATTTTACTGTATCTACAGAAGTTTCCTTTTCTTTTTTGGTGGGGCAGTGGTACTGAGGTTTTAGCTCAGAGTCTTCACTTCCTAGGCAGGCACTCTACCATTTGAGCTGTATCTCCAACCCTTTTTGCTCTGGTTATTTTTGAGATAGAATCTCCTAATTATTCCTGGACCAGCCTGGAACATGATCTTCCTATTTATGCTACCTGCCTAGCTAGGATGATAAGCATGTATCACCACACCCAGATTTTATTGGTTAAGATGGGGT